TCGTTAAAGAAACTTTACCTAACCGAGTCCACATCTACTAAGATGACACATACATATAGATCATATTGTAGTTGTTTTCTTGTTCTAGTTTATATGACCCTAACTAAAACACAATTAAGAGATAGAATACTTAATTTTTGTGTGGTTTTAAAACTTTTTGAGAAAAGACGTATGATAGAATTAGCATATAATCAGGTGGATCACTATGAACCAAAGTATGAAATTAATGAATGTATAATATATTTTTCACGAAAGCAAAGATGAGATAACAAATTTGTCTTCGCCACAAAGTTGCCATGTGGAGACACCGAATGTAAAATCATGCAAAGACTGACTTCATGATTCCGACCAACACCATCTCTTTGACTAATATGTCCATAATACGGTATGACTAATTCCTATAAAAAGAAAAAAGGAATACTCCTACTGTTCCTAAAGAGTTAGATTTTTCTATGCATTTTTATTTTTTATTAATTAATGTTAACAATCTATAAATTTTGTAAAAATATTTATTGAAATATTTGAATTTATCAACTTTAGTTTAGTAGTTGAATTTTTTGGAAGTCTATCGGTATCAAATACTACTAAGATTCAACTCCATTTTGATGCATTGGAAAAACAAATAAATCATTTACACGATAAACATCACACAAAAGTCATCCAAAGCGGACCCACAATTTCTAACATTGATGTACCTCGAAATGACATTATCAATGACACATTGTGAATCTATGTGTGAGTGAACTGAATATGCCAACATGGTCACATAAAATAGACGATTAAGTCAATAATATTGATTTTCTTGCCTCCTTTTAACCATCGAGCGTAGGGTTAAATATTATTTGGAGTTTTTTCGGTGAGTTGGTTTGATTTTTTTGATGGTGATCGTTTGGTTCCTGTGTTTTCATTGTGTTCTTCCGATGCGAGCTTGCATTTAACCTCATACGTTGTCGATTGGAGGTTGCATATTTTTCAATTCATGTGTCTTTGCCTCGTGTTCGTTTTTGGTTTGTTTGTACTGCTTAGTATCTCCATGGCTCGGATTTGTTTTGTACCTTTCGAATTTGGATCCTTGTTTTGGTAGTCGTTTGGATTTGCTTCTCTTTTTTGGGGTTTAGTTCTAAACGGATTCGTTTCCGTGTTGGTATGGTTACCGATTGGATTTTCCCCTACCGACTTTGATCTTATGTGTAATACTCTATTTGTTTCAATATATTGTTCTTAGATGGCAAAAAAAAAAATGTCAATAATATTGATTGGATCCACTATTACCCACTGAATAATGATAATGGGTACATACAAGATAAACAAACGTACGTACACACATTTTTTTTTAAAACCTCGTAGAAAATCAAGATAACGAGAACATGTATGCATTTTATATGAAATGAAAGACATGCAAGAGGTATTTGTCATAGAGTTCTTATAGTATTGTTTTATTAATGTCAATTTTTTTAAAAAAATTTGGTAAATACTAATAGAAATATTAAAATACTTTTTATCAATAATATTTTTTGTGAAATGTAGGGAATCCAAAAATATAAAATGATATAAACTCCTTCCGTCTTTAAAATCCATAGTTCATAATCATCCTATACAAGACAGTTGAAAATGCCAAAAATGAATACACACCGAATCATTCATATCGAGCCACTTCCGGCGAACCGGCTCCTGCTCCGGCGCTTCCCATGACGGTGAGGAATTCCACCGAACGTAACCGGATCATAAACCCTGAGACGCTTAGCCTCCGCCGGATCCACCAAACATTCCGGCAAAACCACCTTGTACCTCATATGGTCGTAACAATACGAATAAGTCATATGTTTCCGCCGGAAACTCTCCATTTTACTCCTTTGCGACACCGTTATCTCCGACGCTAGCCGAAGATCCTCGGCTGCTCCGTCATCGCAGCTCGAGAACTTCTCGGTTGGGTCTACGGTGCAGCCGTGGAGGATCAGGTCGGTGAAATGAGCCACGTAAGGGGCATATTTGTAATTTACACCGTACTTGCCTCCATTAGTCGCCCATTTGGAACCATCCCATATGGTTGCGTATAAAGACATTGGCTTCGCCGGAAAATCACCGCCCATTGTCGCCGTTCGTTTAACCTCTCTGATCGGAACATTGTCTACATAAAATCTGCAATTAAAACGAAAAAAAAAAGAAGATATAATTTTGATTCATACCTATTCACAATGAAAATTATCTTAAAAAGATTATATTTTTGGTAAAAATTCCAGCTTTTAGTGGGACTGGATTTAGATTCTCTCATCCAAAAATACTCTGTTTGGGTCTCTGTTGTTGCCAAGAATCAAAAGCTGTAAATCACGTAACTTTCCAAAACAAGAAAGTAAATCCAACAGCTTTGCATATAAAATTAATTCAAGTAAATTAAAAATCATCTCACATAAACCCCACTTGGCTTTCCTTAAATAGAAACATTAGTAACGCCTAAAGAATCTCCAAGATCATTAAAAGAGTCATAAAGCCTAATCTAAAGGCTTTTAAGATTGGTATAGTTTCAACCACAGTTAATATACCACTAATACTTAAACTCTTGCTAATTCCTCTAGTTAGATTTCTAAGCGGATTAAGAGGATGATAAAGAGTCTAATTAAGATGATTTTGGTTTTTTTACTTACATGATGTGAGAAAGAGACCAAAGGACACTGTACTGATGAAAATCCTCTGTTGGATCGAACCAGAGATTACATCTTTCTTCTCTGCCCAAATGTGTGCTTCCATTACCGTATATGTTGGTCTGAATCCTCCATTCTTTGCCTCTAATGTTCCCCAAAAACTCAAAATCAATCTCGTCATGATTTTTCTCATACATATCTCCATTTGACAACTGAGAAAACAAAAAAAAAGCACAAACCCACACAAAAAGTTTCAGACTTTATGATTAAAAAAATTCCACAGATTAGAGATTGTTGCTTACATAAAAGGCGATTACAACTCCTGCAGAGTAATCAGATGGCAATTTGATAGAAGAACTGAAGAACCCATGTAAGTAAATATCATTTGAGACAAACCCAGAACCTGTAAACATGATTTCAGTAAGAAACAACACAACATTTTAGATTTAGCTCAACAGTG